TGGAGATAGAACAGTGACTGACAAACACACACACACACACACACACACACACACCACACACACACACACACACACACACACACGCACTCACACACACGCACACACACACGCACTCACACACGCACACACGCACGCACGCACACACACACACACACGCACGCACGCACGCACGCACGCACGCACGCACACACGCACGCACGCACACACACACACACACACAGTTCAATACAAACCTGCTATCAGAATCGAAGATGTCTTCTTGATCACTATTGTCATCATCAGACTCCGCTGTTGCCGACTTAGCTTGTAACATGGCCGCACTGAGCGATTCACAGCCTTCATACACACTGTAGTGCTGCACAGAGAGCTTGTCTTTGTACCACTTATGCTTATCACCAATCAACACTGCACGTGTTATACCTGCGTGTACAGCAGTAACCACAGCAACAACAACCACAACAATAACGATAAGAACAATAAGAACAGCAACAACAGTAAAACACAAGACACAGACACATACACACACAGACACACAGACACACAGACACACAGACACACACACAATCATGATAATGGCAGCAACAGCAAGTACAACGAGGCATGGAGTAACAACAGCACTGTAGAGACTTGCGTAAGCCCATGGGGAAACCAGTCTTTGATCCAATGGGGAAACCAGGCTTTGATCCAATGGGGAAACCAGGCTTTGATCCAATGGGGAAACCAGGCTTTGATCCAATGGGGAAACCAGGCTTTGATCCAATGGGGAAACCAGGCTTTGATCCAATGGGGAAACCAGGCTTTGATCCAATGGGGAGACCAGGCGTTGATCCAATGGGGAAACCAGCCTTTGATCCAATAGGCTAGGTTTAAAACCAACTACTAAACTAGACAAATAAACGGTTGTATGTAGTGGGCAGAGTATGTATGGCCAGCAGAGTCAAGCAAGTACAGCGATGACAACTGAAATCCGACCCTGGATTCTTACGCACGAGTGCTGCAGAGCTAACATGAATGATGGCAAGTAGACTACTGTAGTATACATGCGCCTGGCACGCAAACAAAGAGTGAAGACCACTTTCCAGCATTCCTTTTCTGCTTTTGCATATGGCTGTGTACTACAGTCACTACTACTGCATACATGTGTTCTGATGTACTCAAGTCTGTACAGTCACTACTACTGCATACATGTGTTCTGTGGTACTCAAGTCTGTGATCCTCCCCGTTGCTTCTGGTGTAACTGCAACATACGCCATGAGTACAGTACAGCAGTTGTAGATATGCATGTACTGTCCATGCTTTGAGGCTGCTGTGGTCGCGTGCTGTGTTGGTGCAGTGCGAGCGCACAGCTCCTGGGGTGGGTTTTCAGTTACCATCACTGTAGAATCGGGTAGAGCTAGGCAGAGTTCAGCAGAGCTAGGCAGAGTTCAGCAGAGCTAGGCAGAGTTCAGCAGAGCTAGGCAGAGTTCAGCAGAGCTAGGCAGAGTTCAGCAGAGCTAGGCAGAGTTCAGCAGAGCTAGGCAGAGTTCAGCAGAGCTAGGCAGAGTTCAGCAGAGCTAGGCAGAGTTCAGCAGAGCTAGGCAGAGTTCAGCAGAGCTAGGCAGAGTTCAGCAGAGCTAGGCAGAGTTCAGCAGAGCTAGGCAGAGTTAAGCAGAGCTAGGCAGAGTTCAGCAGAGCTAGGCAGAGTTAAGCAGAGCTAGGCAGAGTCAGGCGGTATCGGGTAGAGCAAGGTAGCTTACCTTGCTGGACTCTCCAATGAACAGTGGTGGATGGGTTCAACTCAAACTCTCCAAATGTCTCCAACGCCTGTACGGCGACAACAGCATACCAACACACACACGCGCGAGCACCCCCCCCCCCCCCCCACACACACACGCACGCACCACGCACACACATACACACACACACACGCACGCACGCACACACACCCACACACGCACGCACACCCACACAAACACAAACACACACATACACACACACACATACACATACATTGAACCTTGGGTACCCAATCACCAAAGGTGATGATAGCGGTGCTGCCGCACAAGCCATAGCAACTTGTGCTGGGATAACTGTTAGCTGCTGTATTGAACAGTGTGCAAGGCTGCTATGCTACTACTTAGCCTAGTCACACAGGTCTCCCAGGGGAGAGAGAGGGAGAGAGAGGGAGAGAGAGAGGAGAGAGAGAGAGAGAGAGAGAGAGAGAGAGAGAGAGAGAGAGAGAGAGAGAGAGAGAGAGAGAGAGAGAGAGAGAGAGAGAGAGAGAGAGAGAGAGAGAGAGAGAGAGAGAGAGAGAGAGAGAGAGAGAGAGAGAGAGAGAGAGAGAGAGAGAGAGAGAGAGAGAGAGATTCAAAAGCAATCTCGGAAAGATGACTCAATTGCCTTTTGAATCGACCCGCGAACGACACCCTCTGAGATCCCTAAACTCTGGGTGGACTTGAAAATGATTCCACATATGTACTCACCATACCATAGTAAGGGGGGGGGGGGGGGGAGGATAGGGTGAAGGAAAAGAATCCGTCCTGGGATTCAATTGCATACACCCCTGCCCCCAGTGAAGGTAATACTTGGTACTAGTGTGGGTGGCCAAATCAGAGTGGATCTGATATATGCGACACCAGCACCATTGATCACACAAGAGTTGATGTAGCCAGAGGCAGCCCATTGGTCAATACGTATATGTTGGAAAAGAAAGTAAACGAACCCTGAAACCAGCAAAGGGGACAGGTACAACAATACACCTTCAAGGTGCCAAGCCTGATGGCAACAGACCCCACCACTATCTGATATAATTGTGCCCACCAACAGAACTAGCTGCCCATACATGGTCCACACAAAAAGGGAACACCCCCACCCCCCCCCCCCCCCCCCCACACACACACAAAGGGAACACACACACACACACACACACACACACACACACACACACACACACACACACACACACACACACGCAGACAAACCTGTGTGGATGCTAGAGATGACAAGAAAGAAGATGCACCACTCCTGACCGAAGCCAAGAATCCATTCTTCTGTAACATAACAACTGGACGGGAGTGCAGACGGATTGTTCGCAGGAATCGCCGGTAGTTGGCCAGGACATCATCATTGAGAATGAACTGCACAAAGGCAACTCTAATGTTCACGTCCACCGCCACAATATCAGCAGCTAGGGAACCTGGAAATAGGCAGTCAGCAAACCATACAGATAAAAGGAAACTCAGACGGTGAGCCAAGGAAACAATTTGTAACATGGAAAAATGGGGTCACAAGTTATGCGATTGTGCTACTTCGAAGTAGACTGTGCATGTCTGGCTGTTCAAAATCTGGTTTAGTTGGTGGACTTGATCGCATAACTTGTGCCCACATTTTTCCTTGTTACAAAAAGCAAACTTTAACGTAAAATTAATAATAAAACCACCGCCAAGTACCCCGAGTGTGCCCCGTCTCACAAGAGCGCCCCAACTTGATTTTACAGCCAGGGAAGTAAAATCGTATGGCAGAGTGCAGTACGGCGGGGTGTATGATTGTATGGCAGAGTGCAGTACGGCGTGGTGTACCGTGTGTGAAACGTAGTGTACTAAGGCTGCACATAGCATGTTTTGTGTGGAACTGGCGTCCACTTGAAAGCAAAATCGAGTACGGATTGACTGCACAATGTGCAATGTGTGTACATGGTACGTGTCATATAACCTACAGACAGGACACCACCTCCACAAGAAGATCACGAAAAGACAAGATGGCGGGGGCGCTCTCGCCATACTTTACAGTACAAATAATACTATGAACTGCAACTCCCAAGAACGACTATCCGATCGAATACCAGTTTGACGAACGAATGAATAATCTACTGGTCTCAGTCTACAAGTGATACACTTTGAAGCATCAACGTGGGCTTTACAAAGCCATCCTTCTATTCTCCAAAGTGTCATGGCTCTCCTCAGACACTGTAGGTACAGGTGGGGCTGCTTCGAACATTCAGTATAATTATCTCTACAATTATAAATTTATAATACCATGCACACATGCACGCACATGGACACACACACACACACACACACACACACACACACACACACACACACACACACACACACAGTAGAACACAAAATGAATATCTTACCATCAATTTCATCAGCTCCTGCAGCAGCAGCAATAGTGGCAGCAGATAAACTACTCTCAGATCTGGTCAGAGAGGTTGTTTTGTCGGCTTGATCAGCACTACCACCACCACCACGGTACCCATATCATTAGCAGAAGTCCTTGCTGCAATCCCTGTTGCAATACGTGACCTACTGGACCCAGTCATAGACCAGGGTGACGACGCTAGAGAATCAACAAGTGGACTACACACACACACACACACACACACACACACACACACACACACACACACACACACACACACACACACACACACACATACACACACCATTGGGCGCCCATGATAGCGATGGTACAGCAGAAGCCATAGCAACTTGTGCTGGGATTGCACCATTCAACAGCTTGCAAGGCTGAAGAATTGGCCGCCACTATTCAGCCTGGTCTACACCGCACAGCTATAAGTGGCTTTTTCTGGCCAGTGAATCCCTACTTTTTGGTCTTTTTATTTCATGGCAAGTTCACCAGACTGGAATCTTCATAAGCCCGCTAAACACACCGTGAAGTTGAGGCGTGAACTCGTCCTGCATTCCCTCAAACCAAAGTTGTGCACGGTTCAGATAAATAGTTGTACTTCGTGAACACTGCATCATGTCTAACTGAAAACTATACTGGCCAATGGTTCAGTTGACAGCCATTTTGGCGTGTGACTGGCTGTACAGGTGCAAACACACGTAACTGTGTAAAAACAACAAAGACCACTGACCACTGCACTGACCACTGCACTGACTAGTGTCTGCTGATCAATACCGTACTTTTCGGAGTAATAGCCGCACTTTAAACGCTCATAATTCAACCACAAAAAGTCAGTGTGGCTTACACTACAATGGTCAAATGAACGGGGGGATACAGGGTAGATGTCTGTATTTTAGGACAAAAATCGGGGTGCGGCTTATACTCCAGTGCAGCTTATACTGCGGAAAATACGGTAATCAATGATCACTGATCACAGATGATTGTCATCTACAAGTGTTCTGTATCCCGGCTACAAGCCTTCCCTAGTTCTTACTGCGTATTGCTGTCCACCTGTGTTCCTGATAACTTCTTAGGGCCTTGTATGATGGGCTTCTTGCCAGCAGGTGACGCGCAACTATCAGCAGCAGCACCAGCAGCAACGTCGCCATGAATCGACAATCCGGTCTCATCAATATTCGACGATGGATCAGCTGACGATGATGTGTATGGCTTGGAGGAGTTGTGTCCTCTAGATTCCTTGGTGGAAGGTAGGGGTGATGAGGGAAATCGCATGGTGTGGATCACTTCCAGACACTACAGCAAGGTAGAAGCAAGTACAGTACATGTACAGCATTTGCATACGTACACAATGCATGTTTATGCCCGTGCGTGCGTGCGTGTGCGTGCGTGTGTGTAACACGTTGCACATGTTCCGTTTGGCGTAGTAATATTTCCACTCTTAATTATAGCTATGAATGTGACTCTACTTCATGACATGTATGCATAATTATGTCATTCGTACAAACTCACAGGCACACACGCATGCGTATCCTTTCGTTGGCTCGCTCTGTTATGATGCTGGTTTTTTCTTTTGGTTCTTGAGAATGTTTTTGGACTTGAGAGTTGCAGTTTTGATCTCCGACGTATTGTCATGGTTGGAACTGGTGCCTGGCTGGGGGCTGGGGAGTTTATGCTCCTGTGAATGTAATTTGTAACCTCAGGCCAAGGTTACATGTGCATGTTGTGTGTGCAGTCCCATAACGTTCAGTAAACGCTATGTAGATCATACACTAGTGTCTTGCTTTACTACAGTGGAGAACACATTGTAGAGGCGGCGCTTCCATATCGGAGCGCTCACGAAATAGGAACAGGCTCAAAGTCACCTTCTCTCTTGGTATTTGATTCTACGATGTGTTTCACTCGGAGCCAAATTTTCATGGATCTACGACACAGCACCATGCCAGGTATGTGAGTTTTTGACGTGCTCCTTCCGCACTGCAACTTGAATTAGACGTCTTTCGAAGAACCAACTTTGGCTAAACCGATCTCCAGCGGACACTGGGTCAAGCACACCTTTATCTACTCCCCAACAACTAGCCAAAGCTGGAAATACCTATATTAAAAGCACAAAGAAACACTATCTTTGAACGAAGATGGAGATCGCTCGTATCTCCACCACTAATTTCCTGCGGTTTTTGCCACGCAGCTGCTTCTTCTTGTCGTAGATAAACAGCGGCTCGCCTCTCGCCAATAAAGCACTGTACACCAATGAAAACTATGGAAGCACACGCAAGGCTTATTGTTTCTCTGTACTGGCCGTCGTGTAGCGATAATAAATAAATTTCACGGTTCGCGTGAGGCTCGGCTGGAAGCCAAGTTTTCCGCATCCGCCGTGGGAACGCCACCACCCTCTAGGATCAAAGTGTAGCGATAGCAATTACAGAATTTCGATACTCTCAGGGTGAACTTGAAGTGACTCCAAAACTGCTCCTGTTTGGAGCCACCTCTCTGACACCAACATATGAAACAATTCACACTGATGATCAGTTTGGCTCTGCACAATTTGAATGTCAAACCGTTCTGATTTCGAACCGCCCCCTGCTACATGTATGAGTAGAAGAGTATGGCACTAGTACATGTACATGTACAGCAGGGAGTCATAGCTCACAGGGAGATGACACAGCGGTTATAAATATAAATCATGTTGGTTTCGACCCCGGACTGCCCACTACAGTCGCCCTTGCCTTGGGGCAGGGCCGACTAATACACGCTCGCATACAGCATTGCTTGCCTGGGCCACAATTGCTGTCAGCAGGTCAATGCTGCGATTGTAATCACTAGCTGCATAGACCATAGACCATGCAGAGTTTTACAATCCGGGGTCAAAATGCACATCACTTTGGGTACTATGACCTCGTGTCATGTCCATAGGTACAATGACTCCCTGATGTACATAGAAGATAAGAAAATAGTACAATTCAATGGCACTTACCCTTTCCAGCCGGTTCCTCAACGTACGAAGCAGTTTCTCTGGTGGCAATGGAATTGCTGGCAGACTATCCGGTCTGTCAATCTGTAACAGGCAACAACGTCCATACATAAACAAGCAAGTTACAAAACCTAAACACCGATAAACTGTACTCGTACATACACAACAGATATGCAATACATGCCCCTTCCCCATGCACACACACATACTAAAAAATAAAATGCATGACTGCATCGACCCTCATACCTGTCCGGAATCTAGGTCGATGTGATACACGTCTTCAGGTAAGCAAACACCGCGTGCTGGATGAAAGAAGCTAGCTGGTACACCAATGACATACGGCGAAGGAGCTAAGAGCAATGTCTCAGCATTGGGCATGGACGTCGGCAGCAGAGGTATGATGGGGAACAGGTACTCCAAAGGGAATAGCAGTGAGATGATGGCCATCACGCACATTGATAGCAGGTTGTAGTCACGTGATTGAAACACAACCTGTGCAGACACATGACCACCAGATATGCAGCAGACAACAACAACAACAACACGGGCACAACACAGGCACAACAGAACAGTCAGTCTCAACTAAATGCAGAGTAGTACAAAAGGCAAAAGTAAATACGAAATGGTGCTAGATCAAGTTCACGGTCACCAGCCAGCGCAGACTACTCTTGATAAGTCGTGCAGTGAGTCCTGGAGACAAACTAGTGTGACTTATCGCAAGTGGGCGACTAACTCAGACTGTAGAAGAGATATATACTACAGTGTAACACAGTGTAACACCCATGCAGGCAGGGGATGCACAGTGTGGACAGCCTGCCAGGAGGATGTAGTCTTTAGTATATACCACTACATGCTGTCCTGGATGCAACTGTGTGCAACTGTGTGCAGCTTATCACGAGGGAGATAGTGTGAGTAAAAGTGTGTGACTCATTGCGAGTAGACTGTAGTAGATAAAGCAAGTTAGTGTGCAGCTCAGGATGATTTGGGGCGAAAATATGTCCAATAGTTCCAGTTTGCGCGCTTGCTGATCTAACTTGTAAATAGCACAGAAACATACCTGAAGCAGTTGGGGACAACGGGGTGTGAGTTTTGCAGTTGAAGACCCATACACAAAGAGCTGTACACTCTTGAGGAGGAGGGGGGGGCACACTTGGTGGCAGCAACGGCAACAGTTCCCTTCCCTTGAGATCATTTCGGGAACGGACACGATAATTTACTTATTAACAGCAACAGTAGCTTACACACTCTGTATGCTGTATGCATCAAAGGAGCAGAAATGAAGCATACCACATCTTGTGATTGTATGCAGAAGCCAGGCAGCAACAACGTCTGCTTACCTTATTTTCCAACATGACAATAACCAAGACTTCAATGAGACGATCAGGACCAAGAAGATCAACAGGCAGATGTAGCGGGAAGTCTACAAGAGGAAACCGACTGGGATCAGGGTAGGCCAGTGTTAGAGTGGGCATTATGGCCAGCTCTATCTCCACGCATGTAAAGCCTGGCTGTGGTGTGGGCGCATTCAACAAACCATGGATCCAGTTGATCAGATCAGCAGCCACTTGATCAGTTTCCACCAGAGATGGATCAATCAAACGGCGCCAGCCACTCTCCATGTCTACAGGAGACGATTACACAATGTGCAAGTGCACGCGCATGCATGCACACACACACACATACACACACACACGAACACGCACACACACACACACACACACGCATATACGCACAAGTGAGCACACTTGACTTGGTCAAAACTTCAAATACCGTACTCGCGCGATTAGAGCCCTCTCTTGAATAGTGCCCTATCTCGAATAGTGCCCTATCTCGAATAGTGCCCTAGTCTCCAAAAGCCAGTGAAAAAATAAAGCCCTCTCACCACACGCACACACACACACACACACACATGCACGCACATACACACACACACACACACACACACACACACACATACACACACACACACACACACACACACACACACACACACACACACACACACACACACACACACATACACACACACACACACATCTGCAACATACTGTTTGTCACTTACCAAACACAGTCTCGCCATGCACTTGACAGCCTTCCACTAGATCACGGAATGTCATCAAAATCTCCTTGAACGTAGAGAAGAATCCATGGTGACTTAGGAGACACACTGACGTCAATACTCCCAGGCATTTCTCATTGTCGTCAGCTCTTGATGACACGCCACCATCAGACGAAACACTACTGCCATGTGCAAACGCCTCATGCACACCAGCAGCAGCAGCAGAAGAAGACTCAGCTTCATCCAGCTGTACCGCAGCGCTAGTGTCTTCTTCGTGCAACGGTGATAGTCTTTCTTGATGAATTCTCTCAGCCGTATCAGCACCCTGATCAGCCTGGTCATCTACTGGTGATAAGTCTGGCATATCCGGTTCATTGCACGGTCGGAAAAAATTCAAACAAGTACCAAACCGCTTCACATTCGAATCCTTCTCCGTCAAACAGAAGAGGAAGAGTTTCTGCTGCTCCAGCATTTCCGTATGCGTCATCTCCGCCGTGTAACAGCCATCGGGCTGACAGAAAAACACGACATCTGGCGGAAGTGGCGAGTTGTGTATGTCTGCCTCCGGAATACGCCGCAGTAGCTTGGGAGTGTTGACGCCACCATCCTTGTTTGGAGGAACGTCAGCAGATCCCACTACAAGCACATAGTCAACAAGACGATTTGGCAACGTCTTGGTTTCCACTAAAGCCATACCAGCAGTGAGTCCTCAGTATTGCTGCCACTCAGAGCTGCCGTCGTTAAACCGCTAGTTTTTTGTTCAGGACAGAAGTTGCACAAGATATACAACACCGGCCCACACCGGCCGTGACCGTGTGGCAGCAGTCCACTGCAGCCTGGTGTACCAGCGTACTACCAGCGTACTCAGTTCCACCTGATTCTCCACAAGCAGTCAAGTATTGCAGGTTGCACTCCAGATTGGTCTTGCATCAGCATCAGGTCCTGGTGCTGACCAATACCTGAGTATTCCTTCCAGAGCTACGTTCACATAGTACTGCACGATGCGTCTGCTACCTCCGCTCCATGCTGAACGCGCTAATTCCCTGATAGGGAGCTGAACGCACTACTCGAGAGCTACCTACCACACGGCAGGCCAATGAAAGCGCTACACAGAACACGGGAATTCTCGAATAAATATGTGCTTTCTTTCTAGAGTTGCCGAGTCAGCACAACGAACAGCAACTCGCGGAGTATCCCGGGCCACGGGCACTCTCCACCATCTCACGATACAGGAAATTATCACCATTCGAAATCGCTCACTGCCGAAGACGTAGCGTTCTAACACCAGGTACTAGGTAGCGACTGCTGCACCGAAATATGTGGAGGAAAATATTTGCAAGAATCATTCAACTCTGCAAGCTCTGGTCACAGATGAAAATAATAATTATTGACGTCGTCGCGTCGACTCATCAGTGCTAGTGCTCAGCAGTGCAGTAGCTAGGAGCATTTCGAGGAGAGTCAAGGGCTTAGGCCAAAGTTTGACACAAACTGAAGAGGTGAAGAAAATAAGAAGGCTCTCTTCTGAGCAACACTAATCCAGACACGTATTTCCGAGATTATTTCCGCCCCGTGATTTGAAAAAATATTTATTTTCTTCATGCATGTGCGCATGCATCATGCATGCAGCTGTTGAACCCGGGGTAGGCGTAAGGTCTACCTGGTCTACGGAGCATGAAGCGGTCCCGTAGCCGGCCATGAGACTTGAGTAAGTAACCATGTTCATCTTCCTCGGACGCGACACAAAGTTTTGAGTCACGTGTCACGATTACTATGGGAACAGCATAGTATGTATGCTGGGGCATGCTGGGTTCCGTGATGTCCTATCTAGGACATCACCAGGACTGGTAACAGAGGTGGTACTCATGGTACTGGTAGATCTACATGTAGATCTACGGTATCGAATCGTAGAATCTACGATGATAAAAAGAATGCACACGTGACCAAGGTGACATGCACGACTCGTACAATCATGTACGTAGATGTACAAAAACTATAGATCTACCATAAAGTTGCGTAACCAGTCACAGTGCACTTGTGGTGCAGCCTCTTTTACGGGCAAAAGCAATACATGATGAGAAACCAGGGTATGATAGGAAGATAATAGTACACAGGTCAGGTGTGGAAAATTATGTCTCCTGAGTGCAGCGCACATATGCAACATGGTGTGCATAGGGCATGCTGGAATCAGCCCTGGCAAGCAAGCCACAGAGGCGCTTAAAGAACCTTTCACATGTTCAGGGAAGGCAACACCAGAAGTAACACCAGCGGGCTGAATGTGCCACGATCCACATTGAGCCGGGATTCGCTCTCCGGCTTCTTCTGGCGCTCGTGCTGAAGCAGTAGGGCATCCAGTGGTTGGGCCGAGTAGGACGCCGCATCAGGATGGAAGACGCGAACGTCCAGAAGCCACGGACACGGACATCAGCGCGGGCATCCTCGGCGGTGTTTGCCAATGCAGCAGTAAACCGTGACCTCTCCAGAGAGTGGGGCTAGCTGAGGCTCGATTGCCACTGCGTGGCAGACCTCCGTGAGTAGCTCCCCTACCATGTCACGGACTTCGTTATGGCGGATTGTAGGGAAGCCACCCCGGGGGAAACACATGGCATGAGCAGTGGAGAACAGAACTCTGCAGGCACACTTCATGGGGACATCGAGGAGAGGCCAGTCATACCGCAATGCAAGGCCGTCCCTGAACTCCTGCTTCGAGAGGTGGAAACCATGTTCCTTGTGAGGAAGAGCAGTGAGCCCGGCAGGAAGAGGGGCCTTTGCGGGACAGCTCATCCATACGACGAGCCAAGGGCGGTCCACAGCTTCTCGGAGAGCAGCGAAAGAGGCAGCACTAGCTTTCTTGGAGGACTTGACAGCAGATGCTCTCTCACATCGGGCTAGCTGATCCACAAAGTCGCAGGAATGATGCTGCCACTCTCTATCGTGCTGGTGGATGATCTCATCAACCTGGCTGCACGTGATGACTTGGGAAGCCTGCAGTTGGGAGGTAGCGATTTCTTTGAAGTATGGCAGACCGATTCCACCGAGCCGACAAGGTAGCCGCAGAAGAAGGAGGTCATCCGCCATAAACGTGCGTTTCCCTGTCAGAGCCGGAAGGAAGTGCTCCGTGACCGTGTCATCCAGGCGCTGCAGCTGTTCAGCTGAGAACTCCAGTGTACGAAGGAGATATGTCCATCGACCACGTAATTCGTGTGTGAAGGCGGCATACGCCGCATGAGGTCCGGTAGTGGCAAGCTCGGACAGTCGCATAAGCTCCTGCTGCCAGTCTTGAACTTTCCCAGCTGTATAGCCAGCGATGAAATCAGGTGTCCCTATAGCGGCACCCAGGTAGCGTGCTCCATCCGTGACCACTTTAATGCCAGTCCCTGCAAAGACACTGTGGGCCAGGTTGAGCAGGTCCGGCTTGACGAGGAGGAGAGTCTTCGAGGCGTTCCATACAGTTATTTCTCGTGTCACGAGTACTGCACTACTAGTCTACTGTACTATGTACATATACAATGTCATGTAGATCCACATTGCTCCTCCCCAAACAAAGTGCACATGTGTGAGGATAACAGCTGATGACAAGGCGGAGTCATGTACCGTACTAACATACTATGCAGGCTTGCCAACCATTTAAAACACGTTATAACAGGTTTTCAGTCCTCCAGCATGACACAATGTGTAGATCATGTACATGTTACGGTACATATCGGGGACTGGCGGGAGACTCGGTGAGGGTGCTCCAGGCCCTGGGCGGTGCCACAACGCCAGCCGGGTCTGAGTCTAGCCTGCGGCTAAGGGAGCTCAACTCCGCTACAGTACTGCCGGGCGCCGAAGAACGGCCAGGTTAGAACTTAAGCGCAGCCGATGTATACATGGTGACACTTAAAGCCTTCAAGTATCGCCGAAGTCGCAAAAAAATAAAACAGTCTGCCCCCCCCCCCCCCACACACACACAGGCACAGTTCTTCGGCGACCGGCAGTACTGTAGGCTTGCACCCGCCTCACCGGTGTGTGTAGTAAGTACGTGTGGTCCATGCAACAAAGGGATCCGATCCACGACTACAAACCAGAATAATTATGTTCCCTCGGCAATACAAGCAAGCAAAGAGAACTGAGGGAACAGACAACGAAAATGAACTGAAGAAAAGCGGCGAAGCCCGACTTGAGATCTGAGGACATACATGTAGGCAACGAATCCCTGGCCGCACTATGGAGCTACTTAAAAATAGCTCCATAGTGCGGCCAGGGATTGTATGCATACACCGGGTGCGACAGAAACTTACAACACAATGGGCATGGGTAAATGATCGAACCTGTAGCTGACCTGCCCCGCACCTAATGATCAGTTCCTCGGCTTCAGGTCAGGTGCACCAACTTGAGGCATGCAAGAGGCAATGATAATATGGGGACAGGCCTGGAGCCAGCTCCTGATGGGTCAACTACTCCTGAGAGAGCCAATCTGATTTACATGTACCGTGCAGCCAAGTCAGTTCAACATCCGATGGGAGGACGCATCACTATCTCTATCTTCATGCTGCATGATCATGCCTGGTCACAGTGTTTCACGGTCTACACAAGTAAGTAATTTATTAGTTCCTACCTGTTGTTTGTTATAACAAGGTTTATCTCTGATAGTAGTACTGTACTAATATTGGGTTATCTAATAAGTTAGTTCCTCTAGCAACAGGTGGCCTTGAGTTGGTAGAAATTGGCATGACCAAGGCCATACCTGTCACCCCAGCCCTGGGGGCCCGTTCCTACATTGTAAGTGGAGATGCGGTGCTCTTGATAACACAAAGAGGGCGGCGGACTGACAAGATGTTGCTTACGGTACATGATCTCCAGTTCCACTCAATGTAATCCTCAGCCAACAGAATACTACTCAAGTTCTAGTAATGACACATGACTGTGCATGTACATTGTGCGTGAAATCCCCTGGCAAAACAGGATCTATACCAGGTAGTCGTCAAAGTATTTGACGACTCTCTGATCTATACCACTTGCTGTAAGACCACTAATGTTAACAACCACTTTTAAATTTTAACAACTTTTAAAACGAATGAAAATTCGGATGTTGAGCCAATAGTAATATGTGTAGGGAAAAGGACCTATACGTTACTAGTTATGACTAACAGTCCACCAAGGTAACGAGATAGATGTGTTGGAACTAGGTGTCAGCTCGTTGAATGTCTCAATATCCTTGTCAGTTTTGTGCCTTGTTGTTGCACTGTTGTTGTCGGCATAGGTTTAACACCAGAGTCGGAAAGATTTGCAGCAACCCTGAAGTTGCATGGTAAGCATACTCTTTGGGTAGGTACTCGTATAATATATCTCTAACGTTACTCAGGGGCAGTTCAAACAGAGGGCAGAGTGAAAGGAAATAAGCTCCCGGATCCATTGGAACTTGAAGTGCATAATATGTTGTCTGATGATCGCTTCAGTTCTGAAAAGTCGCAGCCAAACAGCTTCGCAAATTGTGTGCGTGTGTGTCCGTGCATGTGCGCATGCATATGTATGGTGGTTCAAACTCGAAAAATCATCCTACGGTGAGTTGGGTACTCCTACACGACATACTCATCGCCAAACCGTGGCTTTCCTACAAAGCAAGACCAGTGTTGTATGTAAGGGGCTGTGGTTCGACGGTCAACTTCCTGTGCACACAGGCTTCCTATGGTGAACTGACCATTTGTCATAGTGCTCATAGGCCTTCTCATACTGCCTAAATCCTACATCATGTGCCCCCCCCCAAAAAAAACAAAAAAAACACAAAAACAGAACAGTCGAACAACTCAGAATACTTCCAATGGGAACTAGTTATGATGCATACACTGTACTGCGCAGCACATGTACCAATTCAATGGGTTCTAGCAAGAGTACATAAACCAGTACTCTTGGTTCTGCACAATCATATACACGTGTTCCAAATGCCAGGCTGGAACATGATACATATCCAATGGTCTGCATACATAAAAAAAGGAAGAATGAGGTTTATTGCGACCTAGGTTTCATGCCGGCTTACATGATCGTCAGGCGAATTCATTTTATTTTCAAACTGGGACAATGGGCTCTTACACTGCAATGGAAAGCGAGTAAAGTGATAAGACATATTGCAAACAATTACCGTATTTTCCGGAGTATAAGCCACGCCCCCATTTTTTTGTCACGAAACACTATCTTCCCTATTTAACACCGTTAATTTTATCATCGCAGTAGAAGCCGCACCCCCCCCCCCCTTTTTGGGGTGAATTTATAGTGTTCAAAGTACGGCTTATACTGCGGAAAATACGGTAGGTGGGATATCACTCTGTTGGTTTTACTACACTATTGTCCGAGAGTGATGGCAAGAACTAGTACACACATACACCCAAGAGTACATAACCCCCCAGAGTGTGCAACGCCTGATCCAGTTCTGCATAGGTCTTGGTCGAGCGTAATCGGATCTTTGCGTCATAATACCGTACACATCTGAGGGGAACCCGGGGAGTCGTGGGTACTCTCGGATCAAAAACAATGGTGTACGCATGGCATCAGAAGATCCGATTCCGCTCGACCAAGACCCTATGCAGAGCTTGGATTGGCGTTGCACACTCTGGGGGTTACATGTATGTACTCTTGATACACCTAATGATCGCATACGCATTCTATCTGTTTTTGTTTTCTAAGGAGCCTCTGCTATTTGCAGTACTTTGCTCTGCGTGGACAGTACTAATCCTACTGTTTCTACATACATGTAGCAAGTGAATAGAAACCACTGGTTAATACAGTATGGTTGCATACACTCCGAATGGGCTATATGCATTCTGAATGGGCTCCATGCATTCTGAATGGGCTGCATATATTTTGAATGGGCCGCATACTTCCTGAATGCTCCGCATACTTTCCGAATGCGCCGCATACTTTCCGAACACGCCGCATGCTTTCCAAATGGGCGGTATATATTTTGAAGGGGCCGCACACTTTCCGAATGGACCGCATACATTGCAAATGGGCCACATACATTCTCAATGGGTTGCGTTACATGTACATACATGTACATTTTGAATAGGTTGCATACATTCCGAATGGGCCGTATACTTTCTGAATGCGCCACCTACTTTCCGAATGGGCCGCATACTTTCTGAATGCGCTGCATATATTCCGAATGGGCTGCATACATTCAAAAGGGGCGGCATACATTCTCAATGTGTTGCATACTATATGAATGGGCTACATACATTTTGAATGGGCTGCATTCATTCCAAATGGGCCGCATTCCTTCTAAATGGGTTGCATACATTCCGAATGGGCCGCACACTTTCCAAATGCGCCGCATACATTCTCAATGGGTTGCGTACTTTATGAATGGACTGCATACTTTTTGAATGGGCTGCATACATTCCAAATGGGCCGTATGCACATTGAATGGGTTGCATACATTTCAATGTGCCGTGTACAAATCCTATGCACCATATACAGTTTAGATGCAGGCCATCCCGTTTCTATGCACTTCACACATTTTAAATGTGCACCATACATTTTAATTGGTAGCGGAAAATTAGCCAGAAACCTGAAAAATTTGGCGATAGGTCTCCCCCTACCGAACACTTTTTCGTGTCCGAGTGCTGTGCATAGTCTTTTCGTTAATTTTGAAGACTTTTGTCTGTAATTTTCAAGATAAATAATTTTATTGCCCATCCCGCTATATTTCCCTCATAGTGACAGGTGTTCCGTTCCATTTTTTTTGGCAAGAATGGAGCAAGGATGGATTCTGGCCATCTTTTCATGGCGAAAACGCACCACTAACACTTCAAGAATACTCCTTGTTAGAATGGCCAGAATCATTTCCTTTGCCTCCTTTCTCTGCCAACCCAGGGGCATCAGTGGCAGGCAGGTGCTGGTGACTCCATGCTGATAGCGGTGGACACTGCCGGCAAACCTTCAGGCGCATTCCTTCGACTGCATCAAAACACTCAAATAGAACGGCATTGCGGGAAGGTTGACAAGAAATAATAAATGTTTTGACAGTTTGTTAGCGAGTACCGTGAGTGCATACCATCACAACCCTTCACACAGTGGTCAGCCTACATGAGGGGATTTCCCCGAAGAGACATACACATGTGCATAAAGGTATCCAAGACTCCCCCCCCCCCCCCCCCACAACACATCACACCGTGCTACTCTTCAGTTCAAGTTTGCAACAAACATACAGGTCAACACACGATACGTATTTCCAGTTTGGGAGGTGCACGCCCCTGGACGTGACAACTGCTGCGTGACAGTCCTAACACACATATTCTAAGTATGAGTATTCACAGCTAGTTTGTACATTGGAGGAGGTTACTGTATAGCAGGACCCATCCATTCACAACTAGGAAAAAGGTTTGTACAATGAACGCCTCAGACAAAACGTTGATCTTTGTTCTTTCGAACTTTGCGAATTAAATCAACTTTAACAATCTACAGCCCAGCGATCAAATGACCCAACTCTCACAAGATCAAAGGAGCGCACAAATATTCAACATAGACAAAAACTTCTTCTTGTTCCAACCAAAACCCAACACAAGACTTTCCCTGTCCTACAAAAAGTCACAGCAAAAAATGTAAATCAGCTGTTACGCATGCGCTGCCTACAACGGCGGGAAACTGAAAAGAGCAGGCACGTGCATGATATTACCATCATCAATAAAACCGCACAGCACAGGGGTAGCTACACTTGAGATGAGAACAGGCCAAACATCATGAATGAGAAGCGGGAGTCACTCGGCCACACAGACCAATGAAACACAACAGATAGTCTATACACAACATTCCTCCCCCTTGAGCAAACATGCAAATAGCAGGGGAGCGAAAACTACATACACCCAGAAGAGCAAAAAAAAACAAAAACAACGAAAAACAAAAGGCAAAAACAAGTATATGCCACACCAGCATCTTGCCAGGAAAACAAAAGAGCATAATGTGTACTTCCTCCGATAGAACTAGCTCATCAGTACCGAAACTATCGAAGACCTTTGCAACCCACTCGCGCTGTAACACGCATAACATGATTCCTATCACCCATAGCTCTAACAGTACCACACAGCATGAAATATGGCTAGCAGATATTTTATTTCATTATCACTGATCAGCCAACGTCTCCGGTATTAGAATCAGTTACTCAGTACTTAGCTCGGGGCGATGAGTTTCACTTCACAGGTCACGCATCTTCACGACCGACTCCAAGCTGTTAACTCGGTCACTCGACGGCTCCACTTCCAGAGGCACAAGGTAGCGAACATGCCGACGGTAGACTTTTCCCCGGATGTTGACATCCACCACACGTGTCGCTCCGTCCTTGCCTGGGTAGACGGCTTCCACTCTTCCCAATGGCCACTTTGCTCGTGGAAGATGGTCGTCGAGGCATAGCAGAACATCTCCAACCTGAGCTGACCTCTGAGCACGTTGCCACTTGGTAGTCAGGTTCAACCGTGAGACAACCTCTCTCTTCCAGCGCCTCCAAACTACCTTCAGTAAATGCTGGATGATGTCGAAACGCCGATGAGGATGAGCTCGCTCAGCCAACTCTGCCTGTTCCTCCAGTGGACTCGTGACTCGAGCGTGTCCCATCAGAAAATGGTGAGGCGTCAATGGCTGAGGGTCCGCGGCATCAGTAGAAACCGCAGTTAGTGGCCTAGAGTTGAGTAACCCTTCCACCTGAACAAGAGCAGTATGCAGTTCCTCATCGGTAAGATCCGCTTTATACAAGACTGTCTGCAGTACTTGTTTCAATGAGCGAACGACCCGCTCAAACACACCACCAGTGTGAGGCGCCCTCGGGGGGTTAAAAACCCACTGTGTCCCTTGGGCTGCCAACGCTGCTGAGACATCACCAGTACCAAGACTTTGTACAGCTTCACGCAACTCCCGCTCTGTCCCGACGAAATTCGTCCCATTATCTGAGAGGATCATGGTTGGGGTTCCACGGCGCTTGGTGAAGCGTACCAGGGCCATTTTAAAACCGTCCGTGTCTAAGGAGTACACTACCTCGAAATGGCAAGCCCTGGTTTGCAGGCATGTGAAGATCGCTGCATACCGCTTTTCCTGGACACGTCCGCGGCCACGTTTTACATAAAACGGCCCAGCAAAGTCGACTGCTGTACGTGAGAAGGCGAGTAGCTGACCTTCGGTTCTGAAATTGGGTAGCGGACCCATCGCTGGTGAGTACGGCTTGTTCCACAAACGTTTACAGCCGACACAGGCCTGACGATACCGCTTTACCGTCTGTCTCCCCTTTACGATCCAGAACTTGTCAGCTAGCTTCGATAGCAGGTGGTTGGTACCAATCGAGTGTGAGCATTGCCGATCTTCTTCTGCAATGACCAATTCCGTCACCCGGTGCTTCTGAGGTAATATCAAGGGACACCGAAACTCACTGGCCAGATGATGAGCCGTCCTCAGTCTCCCGCCAACTCGTAACACCGGGACTTCAGCGCTGCTGTCCAGGAACGGCCGCAGCTTGACAAGAGGTGATGAGGATGGTAGTTCCTTGCCGTTCATCAGAGTGTGGTACACGTCTGGGTACTGGTCTCTCTGTGATCGCGCCACCCAATACTGCTCAGCACTGTCAACCTCTGCTGCTGAAAGCTCCGGCACATTAAGAGAAGAACATTGGCTGCCCAAGTCCACTTCAACCACGGGGGCCTCCCCCGTGCTGGTATAAGCTTGTTCTCCAGCGCGGGCTGACCTGAGGCAGTGGATAAACCGGCGACACCAGGCTGTTACACGTAGGAGATGAGGCCACGCAGAGTAGTTCCCGGGGTCCAGTCGAGTCTCAGCAGGATGACACTCAACTGCATGTAGGCTGACCATGGCAGTAGCTACCTTGGATACTTGCATGCATGGAAGGACGGAGGGCACGGCAATCATTTTCTTTGGCCACTGGTCAGCACCGAAGGAGAGGAATCGAGGCCCAGACCACCACGTTCCCCGTTCCACGAGTTGCTGGGCAGAGAGTCCACGAGTAGGAAGATCAGCGGGATTCTCCTTTCCGGGAACATGCTGCCACTGCGCAGGACGCGAAAGACGCTGGATTTCTGAAATGCGGTTGCCGACGTCAACCTTAAACTTTCTACTGAGCGAGCGAACCCAGTAGAGGACGTTCATCGAGTCTGTCCAATAGTTGACGTCATCTGTTCCAACACCAACCGCTCCACTGACGTACTGACCCAGGCGTGCACCGAGTACTGCACCCTGCAGCTCAAGCTGAGGGATCGTTCGCCGCTTGATGGGAGCCGGCCGCGCCTTTGCCATGATCAACGTGACACGTGCTCCGCCATCACTCTCCGCCACTCGCACATAAGCTGCTGCGGCATATGCCAATGCGGAAGCGTCCGTGAACACATGGACGGTGATGTCGTTGACCCAATCATCTCCCTTGAAACAGCGACGGATCTTGAGGTGAGAAAGAGTGTCGAACTCACTAAACCACCGGCTCCATGAAGCAAGATGAGCATCTGGCAGCGTGTCGTCCCAGCCGATTCCAGAGAGACATAACTCTTGGAACATTATCTTGGCCCTTATGGTGAATGGCGACAGCTGACCCCTTGGGTCGAACAATGTTGCCATGCGGCTCAAGACTGACCGCTTCGTGAACACTGTCGGAGATGATCCCTTGTAGTGGAACGTGAAGTAGTCCCCCTTGACCATCCACTTCACACCTAAGGCTTTCTGGGACACCTCAGGATGCGAGGGGCTCTCTGCAATTGACCTGGACTCTGCCGCGGCCCGCTCCTCAGCAGGAATAGACGCCATGACCTCTGGGCTGTTGCTTAGCCACTTACGTAGCGTGAACCCGCCACGCTTCAAGAGGGCCTGAGTCTCCACTCGAGCAAGAATCGCCTGCTGTACGTCACGTAGCGACTTGAGAAGATCATCGACATAGAAGGAGTCCCGCACAATGTCGCTGGCAATAGGATCATACTGGTCTCCAAAGCGCTCGGCAGTAGCTTGCAAGGCTCGTCCAGCTAAATAGGGTGACGCCTTGATCCCGAAGACCAGCCGCATGAATTCGTACGTCTCAACTGTTTCGCCAGGCTGCCATAGGAACCGGTGGTATCTTCGGTCTTCTGGGGAAAGGGACACCTGGAGAAACATCTCCGAAACATCGCCCATCAGTGCGATAGGCTCAAGGCAGAAGCGAATCAGGAGCTTCACGAGGTCGGCCTGCAGTTTCGGTCCAGCCAACATCAAGTCGTTCACAGCAACATTATTTGCTCTGGCGGCAGCATCAAAAACAACGCGGACTTTAGTCGTTGCCTTATCCTCCCGTATAACAGCGAAATGCGGCAGATAACACTGTGATGAGCCGCATTGTTCAACTTCCTCAGTTGTCAGTTTCCGGATGTAGGACTTCTGCAGGTAGTCTTCCAGGACCTTCGCATACCTTGGCAGCATACCTGGCCGTCGCTGCAGCGATCGCATGAGTGCGCGGAGTCGGTTCTCAGCCAGCACCTTGTTGCTCGTGACATCAGGCTGCTTGGCGCCGTCCTTCCAGGGGATTCCGACTTCAAACCGACCGTCCTTGTAGTTCAGGGTTCGCTGAGTTGAAGTCACCGCTTGCTGCTCGTCCGGAGTCAAGTACTGGTCTGACTTTGGTAACATTCCAACCGCTTCAAGATCCCAGAAACGACTCACCAGGTGGTCCAAATTGGTACCAGCAGTGGTCACCGCATGGAACGTCGAATGCGTCGGTGTGGATGGACATAGTACTGGCCCAAAACAGACCCATCCGAGAGGAGTCTTCCGAGCAATAGGGTCACCATCGCCTCCATGACGTTCCTCATCCGCACGGTGAAGCACTGGTGAGTTCAAGCCAATCAGCAAGTCGAGGTGATTGTCTCCTGCTGTCTTGAACGATACGTCACGAAGATGTGCCCAGTTGTCCTGAATCTCCTTCCAGTTCACCAATCGCAGATCCATCGTTACTCTGGGCAGGACATATGCCTCAAGCTCCGTAGCCTTGTCACCACCATCATGCTGGACCGCTAGCGTCACCACTTGGAGAGTGTCGTTAATTGCGCCACCACCGATAACGCCGACCGACACTTTCTTCCTGCTCCCCCCTAGACGGAGACGCCTAGCCAGACGCTCTGAGACATAGCTGCACGAGGATCCTGAGTCCAGGAGGACGTTGGCTGTAGCCTTCGCTGTACCACCTCTGACTTCTGCCTGCGTGACCATAAAGGATGTTAGCCCAGCATTGGAGTCGTCTGTAGCTGCTGTTGCATGCGCCGTGTTTTCACTCGCAGCCGGACTGGTGGACGCAGCTGCCTTACTGGAGGGCAGTGATGGCTTTGACTCGTGCAGAAGCGAGTGGTGCTTGCCACGGCAGTGAGGGCAACCGGAAGCAGCATTGCAGTCACGCGCCCAGTGACCTTCTCTTAGGCAGCAGAGACACAAATTCAGTAGACGAACCAGCTCGTTACGTCTCGACGTTGAGAGTGCCTTGAACTCATTGCAGTTAGCGAGCTGATGCGGACCACTACACTTGCGGCACCTCTGTCGTGCTTGCTGCTGTGTCTTTGAGTGGCCAGACGTCTTGATCGGAGCTTCTTGAGGCCTTTTTGGCGCCGTAGCTTCAGTGCCTATGAAAGACCGTTGCTGCACGGGGCGCTGAACAGCTTCATGATGCCTTTTTCCATGGGAGGGTTGACGGTCTGGCTGCTCGGTACGGTCATTGGCATACTTTGCCGTCTTCACCTTTTCTAGTAGCCAGGTGGCAAACACCTTGATGTCGGTGTTACCGTCTCCGTGCCTCTCAAAATACCTGATGAGCGTTGTCCTCGGCACCTTTTCGGTAGCAATGATGCACAGCTCAGGGCCCGGTTCAGAGCCGCACAGCTTCATGTTGGCGATTAGGCTGCGTAGCTTGACCGCATACTGCTGCAGACCCTCCACGTCCCTTTCGTTAGTGACTCGGGGATGGTTGAGCAGATCTCGGATTTGTTGCTCCAAGTGTCGATCTGTGCCACCAAACCAAGACTCCAGCTCCGCCCACGCGGCGTCATATGCTCCGGGGCCGTCCAGAAGGTCTTCAATGAGGATAGCGGCTTCTCCGCCAGCAACGGCCTCGCGAAGGCGAGCCAGTTGGTACTCCTCAGGCAAAGATGAGTCGGCTACTTGCAAGAACCTCTGCCGCCATTGGATGTAATCGCGCCCTTTTCCACTGAACTTCGGCACTTCTATTGGCTTCAACCAAGAATGCCCATATGGACTGATGTGTGGAGCAGCAGGCTGTGCATACTGAGTCTGATATTGACTGTGAGCACTAGGCGCGGCTGCCTGTGCAGAAGGCCGGTAAGCTCTTGGTGCAACACTGCGTCTTGGAGATGGAAATGCAGTCATAGCTGCGTGAGCTGAGGGTAGTGGTGGAAGAACTGAAGATGAAAATGCAGTAACAGGCTTGGCGTGAGGACGTTGCTGTACAGAAGGCATTGCTCTCGCTCTGAATGCTCCACCACCCTGCCCTTGAGTTTGACTGGGTGCTCCACTCACAACTCTGTTCACTGCGACTCCAGGTGTACCAGTACCACTACCTGCACTAGCAACGTAGGCAGCACTAGACACTTGAGTAGCGGAGTGTTGATGATGTTGAGGCTGTCCCACAAGCACACTACTCTGAGTAACACTAGCAGTTGTGAATGTAGCTGCATGCACAGCGTGACCTGGAGGTTGCAACGAGGATCGAGTTCCAGAGCTAGTATCAGCGCTGCTGCCCCTGCCTTGCATTCCTGGACTGCCTCTAAGTGCTAGTGCACCTCTGGCCCTAAGCCTGCTATCAGGGTAATCACCCACTGTCCCATCATCTTGAGCAGCTCCATGAATGGCATGATCCCTTTGATCAGCAGCAGCGGCAGCAGGCGTTTGCCAGGGAACAGCAGTGCTGCATCCGTCAGTGACGCCACTGTGATACATACCAGTACTATACATAGTCACTACTGATGCATCATCATCACTACAAGCTCTCAGGCTGGAACTGACACCAGGGTCTCCAGAAAACTCCGTTCCTCCGTCATCAGCACTACGTGGCGCGCTGTGGGCAAAATCTTCGCCCTCTAGCTCTTCCTCTAGAGGCTGCGCTGACAAGTCACCATCGCCACTGGGCTGACTGGCTGACTCCAAAACTCCTGACTCAAGGAGCGAACTAACTTCTGCCAGCGGAGAACAATCCTCGTTCAACTTCTCAAACCACTTTTCCAACTTCTCCAATCCTTCAAAATCTGCATCGTCTCGCAATTGATTCCTGTGGTCCTCGACCACTTCTTCGATTTGTTTTACTATTCCTTCGGCGTCAGCCAGGTACTTTTTGAGGTACCTCGCACTCGGCGACGACTTCCCATACTCCGTGTTCAATACCTTCAGCAGGTTGGTCAGTCTTCTCCGCAGGGAGGCACGAAACTTTACATAGTCGTAAGTCACACTTTGGGCTGGAGGTGCCTGCGAGCTGGTCTCCGGAGCGTCAGCTTCGGTGTCCTGCCCATGCTCGCCAGACAGCTCTCCACTCCCCGCGACAGTAGTGGTTTCTTCGTCGTCCATGTCTTCAAAATGCACGCATCCCGTCGGAGGTGCCAGTAATGTTTCGAATTGCGTGCACGGCCCAAAATGACCCAACTCTCACAAGATCAAAGGAGCGCACAAATATTCAACATAGACAAAAACTTCTTCTTGTTCCAACAAAAACCCAACACAAGAGCTTCCCTGTCCTACAAAAAGTCACAGCAAAAAATGTAAATCAGCTGTTACGCATGCGCTGCCTACAACGGCGGGAAACTGAAAAGAGCAGGCACGTGCATGATATTACAATCATCAATAAAACCGCACAGCAAAGG